GCTTGTATATATTTTTAAAAACTAGGGTTGGCAAGAGATCATTTTTGGTTGGCCCACGCCAGACTTTTATAAATTAAAATGGATTATATAGTTTTGTAAATTGCCCTAGAGCTCCCTCTAGTGACTGTTTTGTAATATTGCTTTGATTACTTTGGAAAAAGAAAAATTGAGGAAGCAGAAAATCCAAGATGGCTGAACGTAATAAGTATTATTAGCTGATATGGAAATTCAAATGTTGTTGCTTTGGACGAGATTTTTCTGTAAGTACTAGTGATGATAAAATAATAATTGCTTTATTTAAGGTGAGTCATTTAGCCTGGCTGAACCTTCTCAAAAGGCTGGAGATGCACAGACATGTCAACTCTCATATCATCACTCGTGTTGTACTGTAAATACTTCAACCACAAATATATACCACATTTTTTAACTGGTAACCAAACAAACACGTCTTTGAACTGAGGGAGAAAACAGAGACCACAGAGAAGGACCCCCGCCATCCAAAACCTTCTTTATTAAAGAGAAAGTTCTCACCATAGGACTACCACTTTCTCCGACAAAACACTAAATCTACTTGTTCCTCACCACAGCAGCAACTACACAAAAACATTATCACCAAACACTGCCCCCTAATGGTGAAGATCTTTATTAAATTTAGCTAAATCTGATTACAAGAAGAACCTTTATGGAACAAACACTGATGCTGTTGCAATATATTATACATATTTACAAATACATATTTAAAAGCAGTGCACAATGATGTAGAGATTTATTGCTTTTTGTTTTATTTGAATTGAACCAATGTTTGAAGTATGTTTTCTCATGAACACAAAGGAACTCTAATCTAAAGGTACAGTAGGGCAGGGTCAATAAAAGAAAATAATTTTTTTATAACAGCTGCTGTATGGTTCATTTGAAAAATTTTAAGTTCATTTGACTTGTTCTATGATTTGCAGGTTAGAACACAATCTCATATGAAAGAATTACATAGTTTTGTCTTGAAAACATTGTGATACCTAAGAGTTTGGTTTTATTTGGGTCATTCAGGGAAAGTCACAGCACTTGTGACCATTACCCAGTTTAACTGCTATTGCACTTTAATTTGTTTTTCTTTTAATTAAAAAACAACTACTTTGAGATTTGTATTCCATTGTCTTCCTGCTGTCAAAAAAAACATTTTAAATTAGCTACTTTTTACTTTTACTTGAGTACATTTTTAGACAGGTAATTTTACTTGTACTTTAGTAAAATTTCATCAAAGTAATATTACTTTTACTTCAGTAGAATATTTTAATTCTCTTTCAACCTCTGTTCATATCCAGCAATAAGAGCTGTGTTTTTTGGGTTAAAGTCCTGCCTGTGAATCTGCATTGGGGTTGAATCCTGCCGGCTTCACAGACAATTTATGACTCTTTTGGGTTGAATAGAGCGTCTCATATCAACACAATTTAATTATAATGTAGTTGGTAGAATTTGGAGGTTTGGACTCTTTTGTATACGTATACTGTGTAATATTATATACTTATTAGCCTTTGTGTTGAGATTAAGAGTCGATGCTCTACACTCGCAGTTACGAAACTATTACTGCTGTTAGTAAAACTGCACATACACTCACAGAGCTTTTCATCTGTTGAATTATCATTCATTCAGCGTCTGCAGCATTAATGTGAATGTATTATTCATTATCCTCATCCTAATAAATCTGTACTCCAGCTGTAGTAAGATATAGTGCACATAAATGAAATCTAGTGCGTTGTTGTTTGAGCCTCATTTCCCTGCACTGAAGCTCAGAGGAAGATTTGTATGGGTCTCTGTTGAACCACTAGAACATGCTGTTTCAGTAGATGAAGTTATTAAAATGTTTGATAAAATCTTCCAGCACAGGTGTGTGCAGTATTAAAAAATCCAAGCCACTGCAAACCAGGTCATTCTACTATTACCCTCAAATCTTACGTCTTTTTGCCAATAATCACCTCTCTCCACAAACATCAGGTGGTGACTTGTGAGAGTGAGGACTTGCGAGTATTGTGTAATGCATTGTTACGAGTTCAAAATATTGGGGATGGACACCAGAGGAAAAACCCACAATAACAACACTGGTCCGGTCGGGTTGAGTCAAACGATGATTTAATGATCACACACGTGGGAGATGGACACTGTATGCAGACAGTCTCAGATCTCGTCTCAAAAAACACATCACCATAGTTTTATGAAATCAGGGTATTAGAACGCCCCTTCATGCGTAGTGACAGGTGTAATACAATCAATGTTGACAGTTTTATTTAACACAAAGAATAACATTGTCTCCTTCCCGAGGGCAGACGCTGACTGCCCCCGTCTCCTGGAACCGTCTGTACCCTGCTAAGACACAACATGGTAGCTACAAGGACTCTCTCATTTATTAAGACCATCAGTGTGTATTGCTCTAAATCAAGTATATAATATTAACTGAATATTGCTGGATCAGCTATTTCTACTTAAAACATATTAAAACATGACTAAGCACAAAATCACCAAGAATAACATCTTATAAGTGCTGTGTAAGCGCGTGCGGCCTTCCAAGCTCAAAGCCTTTGCCCTCCATAGATCAGCCAGACTCGCGCTGGCTGTAGCTTTTAACCTTTAATTAACTTGAGCACAACTCTAGAATAAGCAACGAACTGCAATGTGTATGGAATGATCATGGTTACATCTGCAATGGAAAATCATGTTATTATTCTGGTATCTGTAAGGAAAAGATCAAACTAAGGTTATAACAATCACTGTAATGCAAAGGATAATGTAAGGTCAAAAACTTCAATTTATGTTTAATGCAAAGCTGGTTATATACTTCTGATGAACTAATAATGCCATATTAAAATATTAAATGATAATGAGAAAAACATCCCCTCCTTATTCTACAGCATTTAAGGTAAAAACAAACAGAATCTCCACCGAGCACATGTTGGAGCCGACAGTAAGCCGACAAAATCCTCATATTACTTAAATACCAAAAAGTAGTCATTCCCTGAACCCAGCATGTTTTTGAGCTTTACTGTAGTATGTTTCTGTTCATCATTCATAGAGCAACAAACAAGGAATATAAAAAATGAAATGTTATGAAACATATTTTCTCATTTTCTGCTAGAAGAATGTGGCTCTACAGTCATTGACCTGTATCCATGGTAACACCTGGAGGCTTAAAATTATATTATGAATATAATTTACCAATTAAAAAAAAAGTTAAAATGATAAAGCTGTACCAGAAGAGCTGTTCAAGTCTGAATTTGATTACTTCATTTGATACTGAACTTCAGTTTAATTGGAAAAAACTGAATTAAAATTTTGAGAAGCAAAAAAACATACAGGGATGCAAATATGTCTTTCGTCACAGGCAAACTGAAGCGTGGTCCACTACAAAGGCAGAAATAATATTAAAAATTCAGCCTTTTGGCTGTTACAGAAAGAAATGACAGATTGAGTGTGGGATACGTTTGTATTTTTATTTTTGGTTAAACAGATGAAAGAATCAGAAATTCTCACATTTCAATAGTGAAAAGAAAAACCTGAAGTAAATTTTAACTTTAAGTTTTTTACTCAAAAAAATGTTTTCAGAACCTCGTTGATCCATTTACGGTATTTTGAGATGTCGGTATAGACGTTGGGTTTACTGGGGTAATTGCAGTTGTTATAGTAGTTGAAAGAAACAACGCCAACAGCAAACCCATGACACACCAGAGGACCACCAGAATCTCCCTGTGAGGAGGAAGAATTTTAATTTATCAGTTTATGTTCATTGTGTTTATGTTTTTAAGATTTGTGAACATGAAACCATTTTAAACTGAAAGGACAGAAAACATACCTGACAGAATCCTTTGGTTGTTTCATATCCACCTGCACAGATTACATTGGCAGGAAGACCAGGCCATTGTTCCTCACAGTTCTTTGATGTAATGACAGACACGTTCACCACCATCAGCTCATCAACAAGTTTACCATCAGTTTTAGTTTTTCCCCATCCAGCCACCTGACACACTTGGTTTTCTTTTAGGTTTATTTCAGCAGGTGGAAGCGGAATTATTCGTACTCCGTGGCCCAGTTGAACTTTCTCAGACAGCTGGAGACACAACATGAAGTAAAAATGAATCTCGTTAAAGTGACGTTAACGCCATAACCGCATTAATGCAGCAAATCTCTTTTAGCGAGTTAACGCGGATTGCCCCGTGTGTGAGGCTGCACAGCGTCAACGCGTCAGCACGGTTAGCTCATTAATGCGTTAGCGCAGTCCAGTCCCATGCACGGGGCAATCCGTGTGAACTTGCTAACGTATATATATAATTTGAATAATGAAACCACAAATACATCATGTGATGAAACTGTTGTGAACATGAGCATGTACTTACTTTAATCAGCATGATGTCATTACCCAGTCCAACGTGTTGATAATTTTCATGGATGATTTTGTTTTCAATCTTTATTTTTTGATGATTGCCGTTCTTGAGATTGTGGTTCCCGAGAACAACGTGTGTGAGGCTCCTGAAAGAGTAATCAATGAGAGGTAATCAATACAATGGGTTTTAATGACATGAGTCAGAGAAGCAGAAGCAGAAGATGTTTGATTACTCACGAGTCATCACAGTGTGCAGCCGAGACTACAAATTCCTCAGTGATGAGAAATCCTCCACAAACATGGTGACCGTTGTAGTCCTGCACAGAGGCCATGTACTGCATGGAGTTCTCTGGGGCTTTTTTACCATCTATGATGTGACTTCCATGTGCTGAAAAAGTAAAATAAAGGAAACCAAAATGAAGTTAACGTTCCATTAAACGATCAGAGGACAATAACAAAGATTTGCAGATCTTACCGAGTCGTCCGAGACATGCCAGAACATGGAGGAGCAGGATTTTTTGCAGACTGAGCATGATGCCAGCAAAAAGGTGAAGTTGTGTTGGCAGGACTGTGAAATGGATCTTTTATATAGCTGTTGCTCTGTCAAGTCTGATGATCACATTTTGACTTCTAACCACATCCTGTTTTTTTGGGCACTTGTATTATTTTTACATTATCTTGTTCATCAGTATTACACTACCCCATCATCCTGAAACACACGGGCTGCCTGCCTAAACCTTCAAAAAGCTGGGTTGTTGAAACATTTTGCAACACTGTAAAAATTCAAAGTTAAAACAACAATATCCCACCGGGTTACTGATTTCATACTTGAACCAAGACTAATAACATTATGGTACTTGGCTCATAATCTGTCCACGCGCAATGTAAAAACAGGAAGGAGATGCCTTTTCATTTAGCGCCTCCTTGGG